TTCAAGTATGTTTATTGAGATAAGAAAGAACTATAATCTCAAAGGGATAGAGTAGCTTAGGCTATTTCTAACCCCCTAATTGTATTCCTTGTCTTAAAGACCGAAGAACGTAAGCTTTTGTGCATTTGTTTGCGTGTATTTTATTATTTGTTTACGAATAATACATTTGTAGCCCATGTATCTATGGGCCACATGTAGATCCATCCAGATCTATGTATTTGTACATATAATTGTTTTAAATACACTCTTACGTATTCAGAGTTAAATGGCAAGTTTTTCCCCTGAATGCTCTGTGTTCCCTTCTCTGAGGCTGTGGGTTATCTTGAGATGATTTCGGGGCTTTTTTTTTTTAGTGTCCCCGCGGCCCGGTCCTCGACCAGGCCTCCACCCCCAGGAAGCAGCCCGTGACAGCTGACTAACACCCAGGTACCTATTTTACTGCTAGGTAACAGGAGCATAGGGTGAAAGAAACTCTGCCCATTGTTTCTCGCCGGCGCCTGGGATCGAACCCAGGACCACAGGATTACAAGTCCAGTGTGCTGTCCGCTCGGCCGACCGGCTCCCTCCACATAAATGCATAATCACCGGGTCCCTATAATTGCACCAGAGGTGGTACCCCCATAATTGTTTTATGTATTTGTGTTTACTTGTTAAGTAACATGTACACAGAAATATAAATGTTTATTACCCAGAATGTTAATATGTGGATTGAGTGATGTGTGTGTAAATATATAAACACGTTGCCCCTCAACACGGTGAGAATAACCTCAGTTGTTGTTGTTGTTAAAGATTCGCTACCTGGAACAAAGCTCCAAGTAGCACGGGCTATGGTGAGCCCGTAAGGGAGCTGTAATAGCCGCAGGTATACCCCTACGCCTGTATTAATTCCCCAATAAACCTATTTCAATTTCAATTTCTAAAATTATGATGACGACCAAAACCTGACATTCAGCACGTTTAATAACGTGACAAGGTCATGATTGATGATGATTGATGAAGATTAAGCCACCCAAAAGGTGGCACGGGCATGAATAGCCCGTAAGTGGTGGTAACCCTTTTGAGCCATTACCAGTATCAAGAGCTGATACTGGAGACCTGTGGAGGTGCGACTGCACCCTGCGTGACGGGAGATGTCTCCCTTGAAGGTCATAAAGAAACTATAAATCAAGCGAGATTAAGACTTAGTCTTCGCCATCCGTTGCATCTTTTAGATCCCGGTTATAAGTCTAACCTACAGAACTGGGTCAGGTCAGGTCAAAGGTCACGGAGGTTATACATACGGTGGTACTAAACCACGTCCACGGCCGCAGCGAGACAATAGCGGTAAAGGGGGAGGATATTGCGCGCATAATTCCAGGTCATGTCAGGTCATAGCGGTTAAATTATGGTTTTATTAGTGATACGACGTCATCTCTCGCCCTAAAGGAAGAACGACACGCTTAAAGACAAAAGGCAGGTCACAAGTAACGACACCAAGCCAGGGGTAGAAGCGGGTTAAATGCCGAATTTGTCGTTGGATAGGACGGCCTGCGGGGCCGCTCCAAGCAACAGCCTGGTGGACCAAACTCTCACAAGTCAAGCCTGGCCTCGGGCCGGGCTTGGGGAAGTAGAAGAACTCCCAGAACCCCATCACAGAGCAGGTATCAAGCATGTTAAGGGTCCAGCACCAACCATATACACATATTGTATTATATATACATCAAATTATGTAATCACTTTGGTTTAACAAAAACCGAATACACATTGTATTTACATACACAACATCACAAGATACCCCCCATAAAAACCAGTTGTAAAATATGCTAATTTATTTCCCCCCCCCCACAAAATATCTTTGTAAATTAGGAAGTTTTTACGCGGGTAAATACGGTCAATGACACCGATCCAGAGGAGAACACGTTACAAAATGAAGTTAACCTTCAACAACAACAACAGGATAGATCAGATGCCCAAACGGCTCAGCCAGAATGAGGAGGATGGAGCGAGGAACTTCCTCTCCAACTGTTCCCCCCCCCCACCCCCAACCCCTCCAGTTGCAGCTGTTCCCCCCCCCCCCTCCCCCCAGCTCCCAGCTGCAGTCGTTAGGTTGTATAAAATAATGCGAAGAGGAAGGTAGCGTGCTGGATCATCTTGAGGAATGTTGCAAGGCCTTGTTGAATGTTGCACTTGCGCTTGCTGAGAGGCGGATGTCACACTGGGGTCACCAGTCGCACTGGGGGTCACCCGTCACACTAGGGTCATCCGTCGCTTTGGGGTCACCCGTCAGGCGTCACATTGGGGTCAGGCGTCACATTGGGGTCAGCCGTCACACTGGGGTCAGGCGTCACACTAGGGTCACCCGTCACACTGGAGTCACCCATCAACACAGAAAGCTGTCGGAAGAGTCTACGGGAGTCGGAGAATGCCTGATACACAGAACCTGGTCACTCTACGGCACTTTCTCGGCAACAAATAGCAGGGTGGGGTGGGAAGGGGAAAACTGAAATGGAAAAACGTGTGAGATGTGGACTAGAAGCAAAGGAAAAGGGTACGACGGCGGGCAACGAGGAGAAGCGAGAGGTAAAACCCGGCCCCGGAAGCCAACATGGCGACGAAGAGCGACCCGGCGGGACGCCCAGTTCCTCACTTCGAATGCAATTCCGTCTAAGTCATACCCACTCCCCGGGCGGTGTGTGGGGGGGGGGATGGGGAGAGAGAGAGAGAGTCAGGTGAGCTTATGGGGGAAGAAGGGCGGTAAAAGGAGGGATAAATGGGCGGAGTAAGGAGATAAAAAGGGTGATAAAGGAGTGTGGGAGGAAGACAGATGAATCAACATTGGTGACAAGTCCACAGGAAGCGCTGAAGTCAATGAAAATTAAAGACAAGAAAGCGGAGAAAAAAATGCCACGAAAATGAGATTAACGACGAAGAGAAGGAGAGAAGCAAAAGGAATAGAAGCAGGACATGTTAACACACTTTAAGCACAATAATTAAATCAGGGAGATGAGAACAGGAGATAAACACTGAAAGAGACAAAAAGAATGAAAACAAGGGAAAGTGTAACGCCAAGGAAACAGAACGACTTGAACCGCTTAAACAGAGAGAGAGAGAGAGAGAGAGAGAGAGAGAGAGAGAGAGAGAGAGAGAGAGGAGGAGATGAGAGAGAGCGAGAGGAGAGAGAGAGAGAGAGAGAGAGAGAGAGAGAGAGAGAGAGAGAGAGAGAGAGAGAGAGAGAGAGAGAGAGAGAGAGGAGAGAGAGAGAGAGAGAGAGAGAGAGAGAGAGAGAGAGGAGAGAGAGAGAGAGAGAGAGAGAGAGAGAGAGAGAGAGAGAGAGAGAGAGAGAGAGAGAGAGAGAGAGAAGGGGGAGCAGGCGCGTGTAGCCTAGCAATAAGTAGTGTGCAATACAGCCGGAACAAAATGTCAACAAAGAACCTACCAACCCACACACACATCATTTGACACCGTGGTGGCACCCACGCTAAATCTTGCACAAACCTTGCACACAAGAGGAAACATCATGCAAGGCACAGGACGAGGGGGGAGCAGAGGGAAGCTAATTGTGAGTGAAAAGTACATGGGGAGAGATAAACAAGAAAAGAGGGAGAGAGAGAGACAGACAGAAAGAGGGAGTCAGGGAATGACAAAGAGCAAGAATGAACTATTCAGCATGGGAGAGTGTATTCTGCTGTGCTTTGATGAAGGGACGGAGAGGGAGGGGGGGTGGGAGAGGATGGGATGTACAACAGGGGAATGTTTGGGATGGGAGGGAGGATGGGGTGATAAATAGTGCATGAAGCACAGGGCAATCAGGCTTGACACTGAAATGCTTGGAGGTTGTCATTGCTAGGGATCTCCAGGGATCTTCAACCAGTGGGTGCTGGGTTAATACCAGTAGGTGTGATGTTTTAACCACAGAGCTATAACACATTCCCACATGACTATGTGGTTAACCACATAGTCAACAGCATATAGCATCAATGCAAGTCAACAGCTGCAAATTCACAGCAAATGGATATATCATATACGTAGAATATACCACATTTAATATAACCACATATTATACTCCGCCTACACCCCCCAACATACCTACACTTTTCCACATGAATCAGTTATACATTTTAATGCATGTTATTTATTATGATGATGACTGAAGTTCTTGATAAAATTCATTTTTTTAATTAATTTAATGATTATTGCTGTTTCTTTTCGTGAACCCAGACCGTAGAACGACGGTCTCGCTTCATGTAGGTCGACGTCCAATCCCCGACCGTCCACAAGTGGTTGGGCACCATTCCTTTCTCCCCGTCCCATCCCAAATCCTTATCCTGACCCCTTCCCAGTGCTATATAGTCGTAATGGCTTGGCGCTTTCCCCCCCTGATAATTCCCTTCCCCTTCCCTTTTCGTGAACCCATTGGATTTGTTATTATTAATTATATTATTATTATTATTAAGGGAGAACCACCTCTGGCTGGAAAAAGGGGGCCCTTAGCCTCGGAGGAAATCACACATAACGCATTAGACGGAATGTTTAGGTCCCCTCCAATACAGTTTCTGTGTATTATTTTTTTACGGCTGCCATATACAACTCTACGGTGCAATATGCTCCAGTTTGGTATACTCGGAAAGTATAAGCACGAGTATATACACACTTAGATTTATAGTACTTGTTTGTGGATTTTTGTTTTAAAATCAAGCTCTCGGGCTATTAATAGTTTTATGCAACAATAATTCATTATATTATTATTCATAGATGCAATTGTTATGCTGAAGAAGTTAGGTGTGTGTGTGTGTGTGTGTGTGTGTGTGTGTGTGTGTGTGTGTGTGTGTGTGTGTGTGTGTGTGTGTGTGTGTGTGTGTGTGTGTGTGCTTTGAA